GGCGGGGGCGCCTGCGAGGGGGTGGGGAGGGGGGGAAAAGAGGTGTCGGGGAGAGGAAACCATTTCCGGTTGGGAGAACCAATCCCAGTTCAGTTCCCAGCTGGGAAAACCAATCCCAGTTCAATTCCCAGTTGGGAAAAACCATTTCCGGTTGGGAGAAACCATTTCCGGTTGGGTGTCCCAGCTGGGAGAACCAATCCCAGTTAAGTTCCCAGCTGGGAAAACCAATCCCAGTTCAATTCCCAGTTGGGAAAAACCATTTGCGGTTGGGAGAAACCATTTCCGGTTGGGGAAAACCATTTCCGGTTGGGTTCCCAGTTGAAGAAACCATTCCCAGTTGGGAAAAACCATTCCTAGTTGGGTCTCCCAGTTGGGAGAGCCAATCCCAGTTAAGTTCCCAGCTGGGAAAAACCATTTCCGGTTGGGATAAACCATTCCCAGTTGGGATGAGCCAATCCCAGTTGGGAAAACCATTCCCAGTTGGGATAAACCATTCCCAGTTGGGTTCCCAGTTGAGTTCCCAGTTGGGTTCACCATTCCCGGTTGGGAAAATCAATCCCAGTTGGGTCTCCCAGTTGAAGAAACCATTTCCGGTTGGGAAAAACCATTTCCGGTTGGGTGTCCCAGTTATACTCACCATTCCCAGTTGAATAAACCATTCCCAGATGGGAAAAACCATTTCCGGTTGGGTTCCAAATTGAAGAAACCATTTCCGGTTGGGAAAAACTAATCCCAGTTGGGAAAACCATTCCCAGTTGGGTTCCCAGTTGGATCCCAGTTGACTTCACCATTCCCAGTTGGGAAAAACCAATTCCCAGTTGGGATAAACCATTTCCGGTTGGGATAAACCATTCCCAGTTGGGATAAACCATTTCCGGTTGGGATGAGCCAATCCCAGTTGGGATAAACCATTTCCGGTTGGGATAAACCATTCCCAGTTGGGATGAGCCAATCCCAGTTGGGATGAGCCAATCCCAGTTGGGATAAACCATTTACGGTTGGGATAAACCATTCCCAGTTGGGATAATTCATTCCCAATTGGGATAAACCATTCCCTGTTGGGATAATCCATTCCCAATTGGGATAAACCATTTCCGGTTGGGATAAACCATTCCCAGTTGGGATAAACCATTCCCAGTTGGGATAAACCATTTCCGGTTGGGATGAGCCAATCCCAGTTGGGATAAACCATTCCCAGTGGGGATGAGCCATTCCCAGTTGGGATAAACCATTTCCAGTTGGGATAAACCATTCCCAGTTGGGATAAACCATTTCCAGTTGGGATAAACCATTCCCAGTTGGGATAAACCATTCCCAGTTGGGTCTCCCAGTATGGACCAGTTGGGTCTCCAGCTCCAAAACTGGGAATTCCCACCCCAAAATTGGGAATTTTGACTCCAAAATCCGGAATTTCGACGCCAAAACCACGAAATCACCGCCCCAAACCTGGGAATAAAGTTCTCTAAATTCCCCGAAATCTCCTGAAATTTCCACGGGAAAAAAAAACCCCAAAAAGCAAAAAAAAAACCACCTCAAAAAAATCCCTATAAAATTCCTATAAAATCCCAATAAAATCCCCCCTAAAAATCGCAATAAAACCTGAAAAAATCCCAATAATAATCCAAATAAAACCCAAAAAAAATCCCAATAAAACCCCAATAAAATCCACCCAAATCCTCATAAAATGTCTATAAAAACCCCTAAAAAACCAAAAAAAACCCCGAAAAAACCCTCTAAAAATATCCCCCCAAAAACCTCTAAAAATTCACAAAAAATCCCAATAAAACCCTAAAAAAACCCCCCAAAAATCCCCAAAAAATCCCCATAAATCCCCATAAAATCTCTATAAAAACCCTTTAAAAACCCCCCAAAAAACCCCCAAAAAATCTCAAAAAAAATCTCAAAAAATTCACAAAAAATCTCTATATAACCCCCAAAAAATCACGATAAAACCGCCAAAAAATCTCAAAAAATTCACAAAAAATCCCAAAAAACCCCCCAAAAAATCCCAAAAAACCCCCAAAAACCCCCGAATTCCCCCCAAAACCCTCACTGACCCGTGTCCTTCCGGATGGTTCCGACCATGGCCGTGGGCCCCAGCTCCTCGGCGGTGACGGTGCAGGTGAAGGTGTCGCCCGAGTTCCAATCCTCGGCGCAGATCCCCAGGTGGCTCTGCACCTCGTAGAAGCCGTTGGGGAGTTTCTGGGCGGGGTCGGAAGTGGCCACGCCCAGGGCCCCGCCCGAGGAGCGGCTCCAGGTGAATTTGGGCTCCGGGGATTTCAGGTTGGTGGCCACGCAGGTGATGTTGGGCGTGGTGGACAGGTAGAGGTCCAGGAGGGAGGGAGGGAGGAGGGAGATGGAAGGGGAGGGACGGGAAGCTGGGAGAAGAGAAGATTCGGGTGAAAAAACGGGGATTTTGGGAAAAAATTGGGTTTTTTAAGTGAAAAAATGGGAGTTTTAGGTGAAAAAATGAGATTTTTAGGTGGAAAAATGGGGTTTTTAGGGAAGAAAAATGGGGTTTGGAGAAAGAGAAAATTTGGGTGAAAAAATGGGGATTTTGGGAAAAAATTGGGGTTTTTAAGTGAAAAAATGGGAGTTTTTGGTGAAAAATTTGGAATTTTTAGGTGGAAAAATGGGATTTTTAGGGAAGAAAAATGGGGTTTGGTTGAAAGTGGGATTTGGGTTAAAGAATGGCATTTTTGGGGAAAAAATTGGAATTTTTAGGTGGAAAAATGAGATTTTTAGGTGGAAAAATGGGATTTTTGGAGAAGAAAAATGGTGTTTGGGGAAAGAAAAAATTTGGGCGAAAAAAAGGAGATTTTTTTTTTTCCAAAAAAAAAAGTCTAAATTTCCTCCAAAAAACCTCCAAATTTCACCAAATTTCTTCCAAAAAGTTCTCAAAAATTCACTGAATTCCACCCAAAAAAATCTCAAAATTTGGCAGAATTTCCTTCAAAAAAAATCCCCCAAAATTCACAAAAAAAATCCCAAAAAACCCCCCAAAAAATCCCCCAAAATTCCCAAAAAATCCCCCCAAAAATTCCCAAAAAATGCCCCCAAAATTCCCCAAAATTCCCCCAAAATTCCCCAAAAATTCCCCAAAATCCCCCCAAAATTCAAAAAAATCCCCCAAAAAATCCCAAAAAATCCCCAAAAAAATCCCCCAAAATTCCAAAAAAAATCCCCCAAAAATTCCCAAAAAATCCTCAAAAAATCCCCAAAAATTCTCAAAAAAATTCCCCAAAAAATCCCAAAAAATCCCAAAAAATCCCAAAAAAATTCCCCAAAAATTCCCCAAAAATTCCCAAAAGTTCCCCCCAAAAAATCCCTACCTTTGCAGAAGGTGCTGATGGAGGCGTTGCGGGGCGTGGCCAGCTGGGCGTGGCCCGCCTGGCAGGTGAAGGTGGCTCCCGCATCCCACAATTCCCGGCTGACGTTGACGCGGCCGCTCAGCGTCACCTCCCCGGCCCCGCCCTCCTCGCAGGTGGAGAGCTCCGCCTCCATCTCGGCGACGTCACCGTTGACAAACCAGGTGAGGGTGGCCTCGTCGGAGCCCCGCCCCCTCACCTGGCAGAGGAGGAGCACCTGGGGCAGCTCCAGGTGGGACAGCTGGGGGTCGCTCAGGAGGGAGACGGAGAAATCCACGAGAGGGCGGGGGCAGCCTGTGTGGGGGGAGGGGACAGGTGAGGTGAGGAAAATATCCTGGACAGGTGTCCCAAAAAATCCCAGACAGGTGTTCCCCAAAATGCCCCAAAATCCCAAATTTTTACCCAAATTTTAACCCAATTTTAACCCAAAATCCCCAATTTTAACCCAAATTTTCCCGATTTTAACCCAAACCCCAATTTTAACCCAAAATCCCCAATTTTAACCCAAATTTTCCCGATTTTAACCCAAACCCCCCAATTTTAACCCAAATTTCCCCAATTTTCACTCCAAATCTCCAATTTTAAGCCCAAATCCTAAATTTTAATCCAAAATACCGAAATTTAACCCAAAATCCCCAATTTTCACCCCAAATCCCCAATTTTAACCCAAATTTCCCCAATTTTCACTCCAAATCCCCAATTTTCACCCAAAATCCTGAATTTTAACCCAAATTCCCCAATTTTAACCCAAAATCCCCAACTTTAAACCAAAATCCCTAATTTTAACCCAAATTTCCCCAATTTTCACCCAAAATCCCCAATTTTCACCCAAAATCCTGAATTTTAACCCGAATTCCCTAATTTTGACCCAAATTTCCCCATTTTTCACCGAAAATCCCCAATTTTAACCCAAAACCACCGATTTTTAACCCAAATTCCCAGGCTTTTCTCACCTTCCATGTCGATGCTGACGCTGCTCCCCCGATGCTCCGCCCGGCACCGGAAGGTCACTCCCTCGGCCTCGGCCACGCCCACCGTGACCCGGGAGCTGCGGTCGTAGCGGCCGGCGCCCATCAGCACTTCCTGGAACTCCCGGATGGCCCCGCCCTCGGCCACGCCCTCCCACGTGATCTCGGCCGGCGACGGGAAAAAACCGGAAGCCAGGCAGGCGAAGGTCACCTGATCCTCGCAGTCCTGGCAGGTGTAGAGCGGGAAAAGCACGGGGGAGCGGGCGGGCTCTGAGGGGGAGAGGGGGGG